CATATCACGCTCCTTCAGTGTACCAATTCTGATCTTTCTTGTTCTGCAGATGGCAGAGGAAATCAGCAAGCCACTGTCAGCGACACAGAAGATTACCATGGTGTCCAGCGGTGGCGCAGATGTAGGAGCCTCCAAACTTGCTGGAGAAGTGCTGGACATCATGACCAAGCTGCCGAATGCTGTAGAGAAACTCACTGGAGTCGACATCTCCCAGGTGCAGTTTGCATGAAGAGCAAATAGGCTTTGTAACAGACTTCAAAACAAGTACACGTGTTATTTCATTCGTATTTGTGTTTTTGACCTCGCAGGCTGCAGGGAAAACCACCCGGGCGCATTGAGAAGAGTAATCAGGAGAGGTGTCTACAATATTTAGACAAAGAGCTCCACATCTCCTCGTACCTGTAACGACTGTACTGACTTGTAAACACTGTAAACCTCTCTCATTGTCTGTGTGAATGCATGCTTTTCACTCATGTCCTTCCCCCAGTCTAAACAAGGCTAGGTTTTTCTTCCCCTGTTGTGTGGTTTTCTTTTCATGTCCCTGAGCTGTGCTGCTGTGCTTCATGCTGCAGGTCACATTGCAACCAGCCTCACGTGATACAGCGACTGCACAACTTCTGTCTTTGGCTGACAAAAGCCTCAGCTAATACGTAGAAGCCCACTTTAGGGACTAGGTCAATGAACTATTACGTTTGTTTGTTTGTTTTTTACTTTTTAATATAAAAATGTAGGAAAAGCTTATAGCCTTATTCTATTTTCTTTCTGTGCCTTTCAATTAATCAAATAATGCAAAACATACACTTTCAGGGAGCCCAACTGAGTATGCTGCTACACTTCTGCCACTGCTACACACCCCTTTATTAAATCTGATCATTCACCTGGAGGCTCTGAGCACGAGAGAAGGAGGTTCTGACAAAGTCAGACCCTAAAAAAAACAAACTTTAGCGCAATGTACATTCTACATTTAGACTACTAGTTGGCTGACTGAAATCTTGCTGAGAGCGTTTATCAAATCACCTCAGAGTTTTGTGTGTTGAAATTTTTTTATTTTTATGTACTAATCACAAAAGACCGAATGTCTCTTCTTTGTCTACTAGGTCATTGCAAAAAGACATACGTGAGTGTCTTTGTAGTAATGGATTACATTGTTGGCAACAATGTTATCGGCTGGAACTGCAAGTGGGAGGAGTTTCTTTGTGTCTTGAAAGGAGGAGGGAGGAAGTGGGTGGTTGGAACAAGTTATGGTTTGGTTAGGTTTCCTGTTAAAGCCAATGAAAGTATGTTGAACCTTTTGTTTTCTTCTTCACTGTAACTGCCTTTTTATACAGCTGTCATAAGTAAAGAAGGACCATCACGAAGTAGCTCAGCCTACTGCTTTGTTATGCATGCTGCCTTGAGTTTAGTCGCCTTGTCTTGTCTTTTTCCTGCGTTAAAGTAGTGCAATTTTTGTTCCTAGTCTTTTTTTAGAATCACTCCGCATTTTGCAACCAAGTGCCTGGTTAAACTCCTCAGGCATCAGTTTAAGACTAGTTAAACTCATCAGGGAACAGTTCCTCATATCAAACTGGTCTTAACCCAGTTTGTCACTTTTGAGGACAAAAGCCAGAATCCGCCTGTCTTCTTTGGTGCTTTGTAGTGACTAATACTTTCTTCTTCTTTTTTTTTTTTTTAATGTTGCATTTTCAGCCTTTGTTGATATAGTGGGAAAGTTGGCTGCTTGTATCAAATATTAAACATCATCTATGTTAGACTTATAATAAAATATATTTCAATCGATGAAACTTTTGATTTTTTTTTTGACAGATGTAAACAATAACAAGCACACACTGATTTTGAAAAGATTAACTTTATTAAAACATCTACAAAAATAGACAACACAGTGAATTACAATAGCATCAACGTAGCAAGCGTTCTACACAAACACAGAAGACCCCCAGTTGGGACAGAGTTTATATATTAAATGAAATTGTAATTCTGTCCTTAAAATATGTACATACTGTGATTTTTCAGCTTCAGACAGAACGGGACAAAGATCAGACAACAAGGAGAGCCTAAGTACGTATAGTATATATAAAAAAATATGGGTTTAGTTAAACTACAGTGTATCAAAAAGGACTCGTATGGCACAACCATTCACCACCGGTGAATTTGTTACTTCATGATGTTGATCAGGACTGATTTACAGTGCTGCTCTGTCAGTTAGGTAGATGCACTGACTCTACCGCAGTCAGACTGGGTCATTCAATATAAAGTCAGCCAAATCTATATAGCTATATATATATAAAAAGTTTCCACCTGACCCCTCTGAATCAATATATTTTTGGTACAATAATTCTATTTAACAAAGGCATGCAAAATATTACAGTCATACCATAAATATTTTAAGAGTTGGTTAAAACTCGGTGCTTATTTTATTTGTTCTTTTTTTCTAAATTTTTTGAGATGAAATGGGTGAAAAACATATTTTAGTTGTAATGTAAATATTAAATTGTTATTAATAAATCCCCACCATCACAACCTGGAGCCAATACCTTGTATTTACTTAGCACATTTTTTCTATAACCAATTTTAAGATGAACCTTGTGCAGAGTTTGCATGTTCTCTCCCCTCTCTGGTTTTGGCCCGCAATTCAAAGACGAGCGTGGGTTTGGGTAAGCCTGAATTGACAATAGGTGCGAATTTGAGCACGAATGGTTGTCTCTCTGTTAGCCCTGCAACAGACTGGCAATCCGTCCAGGGTATACCCTACTTTTACCCTATATCAACCCTCAAATGAACAAGTGGTAGAAGATAAATGTTTTTATTTTTAATTTAGTTTAACTTTTTGTATTTATTAAATAAGAACGTGTGAGTGAGTGAAGGTAGAAAGAAACGCAGGTTGGATTTGACACTGGTGAGGACTCGAGTCTTTGGTACATGAGTTGCCTGCTCAGTCAAGTGGACTATAGGGGCGCTGGATCAATCATAGCTCCAAAGCAAAACTACACTCATATAATCTGTATGCTATAGAGAAACAGAAATAATAACAAGCAGCCTGGATGCCTGAATCTGATTTGCTCACAGGAGGAAAAAAAAGTGCATTCTGGGTAATGTTTGAAGGCTCATATAAGCATGTGGTTATAACAGATGAAAGTTTTCCTTTTTTCTTTGCTGTTGCTTCATTGTCTGCTCAGCTTGTGGCAGTTTTGTTTTGGCGCAGGACAACATGTTCCTTTTACTCGATCCAAGTTTTTTACCTCAGATTTTGACAGTTGGAATCAATTTTTTTCAGGTTTGACAGCGTTTTGTAACTATTCCCTGCACTTTTAACATTTCCACGTCTCGAAAATGCTAAAACGATAATTTAAATTAAAAAGTGTAACATCTGAACCCTCGCCTGTGTACTTTGAGTTCCTATTATTTGGAAAATATTCATAGTATGAAGTATTTACAGTATAAGCATGCATGCCACATTTTTTTGTACAAAAATATCTGCTGGTTCTGATGGGCTCAGGTGGGAGGCACTGATTACTTTCCATGGAATGACCCGCTTAATATCGGATACGACACATAATATCCTTCTGAACAACGATTACAGTGATACATTTGGATGAATGGAAACAGATTACTGGACGACTAAACATGTCAGCACATTAAAAAAAAAAGTGAACAGAAGGTTGTCACACAAATTAAAGTAACTGAGGATGCCATTCCATTTAAAAAACAAAATATTTTACATCTAATGGTTTGGCGACGCTGTGTTGGAGAGGATTTTAAAAAAAAGCATGTTTGACCTGCTTCTGTGATTCGCTTCGATCTCACTTTGGGAAAAAAAAAAAAAAAGCATTAGAATCCACATCAAAGAGGAATCATGACAGAGACGAGTTTCATCACAGCCGGGGATTCGTGAAGGGTTTAAAGTGCAGCTGGTTTTTGGAATTTAAAAAAAAGTTTTTCCTTTTTGATGAGTCACAGCCAACACCCGAGCAGGCGCATCTGAAGTCCCGTCCACCGCCTGGCTGGTGTTACATCTGCTCGGAAAAGCTGTTCCAGTTTGTGGGAGCAGCAAAGGTGTAGCAGAGTCTCCTCTTCTGCACCTTTTTCTCAGGTTTGAGAAGTTCATACAACCTGCTTTGTTTTTTCTTTTTAAACTGTGGCTCAAAGATGAAGTTCAAATATTTCTTTTTGGGGTTTTTGACTACGACGTTGGTGTTGACTTGATCACATTGCAGAAATAGGGCTGCTGTTGTCTGGTCCACATCATTTCACATTAGTCCACTAAAACTGACAACTCTGGACGTGGGTCGCTACGTACGGATAAGGAGCTGAGATAAAAATGAAATCCATCACTGAGGTTCTAGCTCAGCCATGTCTGTGTGCAGTAATTTATACATACTATAAGTACTGACACAATACCTGTCTGTGTGTGTATGTGTTTCTTCTCTAGACATGAGGCATTCTCTTAAAACTTTGCGGGTCATGTGACCCACACCTGTCATCCTGTGTGGAGATGCTGAAAAAAAAACCCAATTAAACTTCATAACTGCTCCTGATTTCCTACGTTTACAGAGTGTTTCCTGTAACTGAGCTCCTTAACTCTACAGCACATAATCACCAGTCACAGAAACCCTCCATGAAGAAATTAGATCCTATGCAGACCGCACCCACCACCAGTACCACCACCACCACCCTCGAGAAATGTAGCTTAAACTATGTTAAGAGGAAGTTAGCTTTGTCTTTGGGGTCTGATGTGGAATTAAAACCGAACCAGCGGTCTCTCAGCCCCATCCACCCAAAAAGTACAAAATATAAAAGCGAGCAACCCGGTCTCCCTTTTCGTCTGCCCCGTATGTGTAGCCACCACCACGTCTTCCCACTGTGGGAAGTATGCATGAACGCACAAGCCTTTTCTTCTTATTCTGCTCCTCTGCTTTACTTTACACCATGTTCATGGCGTCCTCCGTAAGAAAGGAGTGGATGTAAGCGAAAGATGGGCGGACCTTGCAGTCTCTGTTCCAGCAGCTCAACATGAGCTCGTAGAGACCCTGAGGACACACAGCCGGCCTGCTCAGATACACCTGTGGGAGAGAGGGAGAGGGAGAAAGGTGCAGGAAGAGATTAGAGATCAGAGGCATTGCTTTGTTATATAGTATATCGTTTCCACACGTGACAAAAATCCGCTGTTTTAAACATATGCAAAAGTTATGAGTTTTCTTTTGATTTAATCTGGAGTGCAATTTATATTTTTAGCATGTGGATTTTTTTTTAACTTGATTAGGAATTATGTGAATCATAAAAGTGTAGTCTAACTTCACCAGTGCATGCAGTTTTACCCTTTTAAACTCAAGGAAAAGGTTTGGCCCAATGAACGACCACTAGGGGGCGCCAGATATCTGATGAGTTTATACTTTCAAATCACTTTATACATAAATTAAATAAGCTAAAGTGGAAATATGTGGAGGAATTCAAGAAAAGAGACGGAAATTATAAAATCTTGTATGATTAATCAAATATTGAAAAAAATAATAGGACAACTGTGTAAAAATCAGCACACAGCAGACTCACATCTTTATATTTTTCTAAATGTGCAGGCGGAGGCAGAACGGTTACTGGGGAAACTTTATATATTATAAAAAAATCCAACAAAAGCACAAAGTGATCACTATTTAACCCATCCCCTCTCTTGGGTAACCCCTGTTTCTCTTTTCTGAACTGAGTGGTTTCGGTCATGTTTCAGAACAAAGTGACAGAGGTTAGTGAGGGCGAAGAGGGTCATCAAAGCATGTCTTTATGGGAGTTAAAGGAGTGAAGAACTGTATGAAGAACAAACAGGATATCTGATGAATATTCTCATACAACTATGATACTGAATCTTTTTTCAGTACTTCTGAAACAAATAAAAATAAACAAATAAACATCCCACCGTTATTTAATAAATCACTGGAACATAAAAGGATCCAAGCTGAATTTCAGTTCTGTAAAAGCCAGCGCTGTAGCATCAGCAAACGCATGTTTTGTTCATTTAAAATCTTCCATCAATCCTTTCATTATCTTATCCACTTATCCAAAGTCAGGTTGTGATGGCAGTATCCTAAGCAGGGTATTCCAGGCAACCTTCTCCCCAGCCTCACTTTCCAGTTCCTCCTGGGAGATCTGAAGGCATCCACAGGTCAGGTAAGATATGTAATCTCTCCAGCAGGTTCAAGTTTACCCCGAGGTCTCTTCCCAGTTGGGCATTCGTGAAAAACCTCTAAAGGAAGGCGCCCAGGAGGCTTTTTAACCAGATGCCTGAACCACATCAAGTAGCTCCTTTTGACATGCAGAGCAGATCTACGCTGAGATCCCTCCAGATGTCTGAGCTCCTACCTCTAAGGCACAGGTGTCGAACTCCAGGCCTCGAGGGCCAGTGACCTGCAGGTTTTAGATGTTTCCTTGATCCAACACAGCTGATTTAAATGACTAAATTACTTCAACATGTCCTGAAGGTCTCCAGAGGCCTGGTAATGAACTGATCACTTGATTCAGGTGTGTTGATCCAGGGTGAGATCTAAAACCTGCAGGACACTGGCCCTCGAGGCCTGGAGTTCGACACCCCTGCTCTAAGGCATAGTCCAGCCAGCCCGTGCAGCTTCCTCTGCAGGGTGGCCGTGTTTGCAACCTTACATGAAATCGGTCATTTGATGCAGTTTGTTTCTGCTTTTTTTTTTTCCCAGGTCTGCTCAAATCACGATTAAGTTCTCAGTTCAAAAGTGATATTTCAGCATATGATCACTAAACAGTAAAAACATGTTGAAGAGGTGGTTTCACCAGCTGGGATGGTGAATGGGACAAACAGTTAGATAGATGCTGCTTCAGTTCGTTTTAGTGTGTTTGCGTTTGAGATGTACCTGTCTGCCCTGGTCTCTGAAGAACTCGCCAGCATTGTCGATGACTTGTTCATCCGTGAGGGTGGAATACGGCTGCTCCTGACAAACGCTCAGCATCTCCCACAGAGTGACTCCGAACGCCCACACGTCGCTCGCCGTGGTGAACTTACCCTGTGATCAGACACCAACACAGTCACCTTTGTTATCATAAACTCCATTACTGTAAAAGTAATCACATTGTATCATCTATGCTCAGCTTGTGGATCTATTCTTTAAAATTTCTTTAAAACTTTCTTTAAAACTTTTAAATTTACTGACTGGATATTTGAGACATTTCACAGTTGGCCAGTAATTTTAGTGTGTAAGGGCGATGGACCTACACACACATCTGTACGGCTATCTTTCTGTGGTCATTTCTGTGATCATTCATTGCCTCGGCCTGTTATCATCATTAAGTTAATTTAACCCTAAAAAGACAGAAAATTAGAATTTCTTGAATTTTTATTGAACTCTCTGATAAATAAATTAAATATCAGTTTCCCTATATAAGTTTTAATGTATCTCACTGTAGCACTGCATGTGTTTGATTGTATAAATTCAGGGGAAAAAACCCCATGTGCACTGATGATGTAGAGGCCTCAAAAATTCCTGAATCTAATATGATTCACTTGCTGCCACACGACTGCATGTGTATGATGCATGTAGGAAACATTAGGAAACTGAAGCCCCATAACTGCAAGTCAAACTGTGAACCACTGCAGTCAAATGTGGTCTAAGAAACTGTATAAAAAGAACAGTCTTCTCCACGTTTGTTAATTAATCCAATATATAGACAACATTCCTGTGCTCTCACCATGAGTATGCACTCCCAAGCCATCCAGCGTATTGGCAGCACGGCCCTGCCCTGGATCCTGTAGTAGTCTCCAGCGTACAAGTTCCTGCTCATGCCGAAGTCGGCGATCTTGATGTGACGCTCTCCGCCTTGGTCCTCTCCGCTCTCGCCCCTCTCACCCCCAACCAGACAGTTACGTGTGGCCAGATCTCGGTGCACAAAGTTAAGCGAGGAGAGGAACTTCATTCCTGACGCAATCTGGCTGGCCATGGAAATGAGCGCTGGGTAACTGGAGGGAGGAAATTACAAATGGAAGAAAATAAAAACGGTTGCTTTGTGTGTGTCTGTGTGTGTTTTTAAGTATGTGTGTACATTTGTTCGCATGTCCTACCTGATGGTTGGCGTATTGTGTGAAGGCCCAGTTTTGTCCAGAAGCACTCGTTGGGACAAATACTGGTTCAAGTCTCCACACTCCATGTATTCGGTGACCATGCAGAGCGGATCACTGCTCACACACACTCCCAGCAGCCTGATTATGTTCGGGTCCTTCAAGCGAGACAGGATCTTCACCTCTTTCAGGAAGTCGTTCCTGTTGAGGTGAGAAGAAGAAGTTACATCAGAGATAAAAAAGAGAAACAATTCCTTCTCAGGCTTACTGTAAAAAAAAAAAAAGAAAAAAAAAAGCATACTTTTAAACAACATGTTTAATGTTAACTCTGGGTTAAGTGAGGAGGTTGCCGATCCCCCCCCCTGTGGTCAATAATCAACACCTCCAGCCTGCAGCTCCTTGTGGCTTTCCACACTATTCACTTCATTGATTTGTTTTTGCTGCTCAATATGTTTGTGTAGCTCTGGCTCTCACTAACCTCAAATATAAATCTGTGGGAAGATGTTCCCTGAACATAAGCTCACATGTGCTGATTTAATCTGCTCAGAGCAAAACTCCGGGAGAGCCAGAGTAAACAAGCAGCAGGTGAAGGGATTCCAACACCTACAAGTCTACAGACACCCAGAAACCTCACCTAGTTTGTGCACATATGGCCAAAAAAACCTACAATTAGTTCCAAGACAGAAACATATCATTAGAGGTCACAGACAGGGAGAGATGTCTGCACAGTGATAGGCATCAAATAAGCAGTTGAATTCTCTTAATTAACTTTTGATCCACAGAGATCAGAGAGAGAAGCAGGCATTTATTGTAGAGGCAGTAATCAGCTCGCTGTCACCAGCAAGTGGCTTGTGAGTGATTTGTACAAGAAAACAACAAGGTTTGCTTTACAAAAATGGCAACAAACTTCTACTAAAGGTTAACACTTCAAATAAAACAGAGAACCTGAGAATATCCAATAATTTGTTTTCAAATGACCACTAAATACTCCTTGATAATTAAGAAACTTATTAGGTTCAAGGACCTCAGGAGGAAGCGTGAAAGACAAGGTGGGATAACAGAAAGAAAATTGTGAATCACACTGAAGCCAGAGTCCAGGCTGAGGTGCATATGATGCTACAGACCTGGCGTTCTTGGAGGCGTCTGGGCGCAGTATCTTCACAGCTACCAGGAGGGGGCGACCTTTTCTCACATTGAAGGGGAACTCCAGTGTAGGAAGGTCCTGAGGGCTCTCGATTTCACACAGGTGTACCTTTCACCCAAAAAATGAAAAAGGCAGGCACTGTTAAAGCACACTCACCCTTCTACCCACTGGAGTTACTTTTCATCTCATTTCTCACCTCTCCAAACTGCCCCTCCCCGAGCTTCTCCTTGAAGATGAGACACTGGCGCGGCAGCTCTGGCAGCGGGGCGGCATCAGCCCCGGGGCTTGAAGAGGCCAAGGCCGGAACAGCGTAGGTGTTGTTGCCACTGACACCCTGCAAGCTCACGATGTCTGCCTCAGCATAGTGGGGGACGCTGGGGGGCATCGGGGGAGACACGGGCGGAGAGAGAGAAGGGTAAGGAGGAGACCCGGGGTAGGGAGGAGGCTCATCCTGTGCTGGGGGGAAACCTTTCTCCGTGTCAAAGTCCAGACCACAAGCTGAAGAGAGGAGGAAGACGCAGAGAGGCTGAATGAGACTGAGAAACTACTGTGAGAGAAGAAATGTGTAATCAAATACATTTAAAAAACAGAGCTGTCTCTAAACAGTTTGTGAATTCTTGTTGTGAAGGGATGGATTGGATCATTTGAGCAGTGAGACTTGTTCAATAAAGTTCAGCACATCTACTAGAAGAATAAAACAGGCAACCTGAGTGAAATCACACACAAAAGGCGTTTTGACCTCACACATTCAGCGTTGTAAATGAGCAGATGATAGGCCCGCACAGCTGTGCAGTCATTCATCTGCCTGGACGCTGAGCTAAAGGAAGAATAACTCAGAAACTGTCATCCAACAGAAATTCCAGCGCACACCGGGGATCTCTAGATCGTCTTAATTTATTAAGAGTCATCAGCAATCACAAATTTGTGAGCTCGTTTCTCACTGCGGTTGTGTCTGGTATGCTCATTCACACAATGCAGTGATGGCAGGGGAGACTTTTGCTTAAGCGGACACACTGAATCACCCCAATAAGAAATAAATCACGGAGGTCTGTGACGTGAAAAGCATGAAGGTGCTGTCAAAATCAGTGACACGCTCCTGACTGAAGGCTAAACTTTCTTACTTAAAAAACCCCAAAACCCTTTCATGTATTGCACAGCATCGGTCTATTCTGCTTAGATTTAAACCTAATTAAAATGTGCTGCTGCGCTTACTAATAGAATATGAACAGCTCTGAAATATTTAATTTAACAAGGGGTAACTTTGCATTCAACACAAACTCCTCTCATGAGGTTTCAACAGTTCATAAAAGTCAAACACTTGCGGGAGTGTGGCCTTTGAATACTAAGTTGTTATATTTTTGTTAAAATAATAATGGGAACGATAAGAGACTTTTTAGTCCACTTCAAGCTGAGCACCCACGGCCCCATGAATATTAATTATGTTTTAAACAACTGCTTAAATTCAGCAGTTTGGACTTTATAATAATTAATGATAATTAAGAAAAAATTAAGAAAAATAAGCCATGTTGCAGTTCTGTACGGCTGTGATTGATTGCAAACAGCAGCATGCTAACAGGCTCACAGCGGCAGGACTAACATGTTAATTTTAAACAGGTAGCAAAACACAACGTGCATAAGAGACTGGTCGAGATTAGTTTTACCGATTTTTGGCCATGAACCAAATTATTAGACAAATTAAAATTGTGACCAGATGACGTGAAGCGAAGGCATCACCGCATTTAGCCGTCGAGGCTAGTTTTATTGCGGTCTGTCCAATAATTAATGATTCAATCAAACCCACAAATGTCGAAGTCAATGGTGGGAACTGTGGAAGAGTCCAGCAACGACTGCAGACGTGGCGCCAGGATTACGATCCAGGACTGAGGCTTGTAATTAATTATTAATTCAGTGTTTTTAATAATGCTGCTTCTATTTATTAAAAACAAATAGACGTACAAGTTAAGAAAACAATACTGTGATTTTTATTCTGCTGTGGATTGTGAAGACCAATGTAGGCTGTCCATTTAATTAAGCACCAAGTAGAGAAACAGAAAGACAGAAACTAGTGGGTGAGCTCCAAGGTAGAAAAATGCACATTGTTCTATTCAAACTTTGCTTTTGTGACCAGTAATTGATTTGTAATTAAATTTAGAAATGTCATTTGAAATTTTGAAAATAATAATTCACATTTTCTCTAATTTTGTCTCTAATACCACTTAGTACACAGCAACAAAAATCGTGACCTTCTCAGAAGTAAGACGCTTAGAATTATTCGTCTGATAAAGTTTGTCACAATACTTCTTGTGATTTATGTCTTGTATACATTTGTCCTCTGATGTATTTTCTTTTTTCTGTAAAATGACGTTAAAAATGCAAACTCACTAACAACAGTGAGCATAAATACCGCTTGATCAATCACATGACGGTGACTCACTGCATTCAGCCATGCAGAGATGGTCAAGAGAACTGCTGAAGTTCAAACCGAGCATCATAATGAGGAAGAAATGTGATTTAACTGACTTTGAATGTGACATGGATGCTGGTGGCTGGTCTGAGTATTACAGAAGCTGCTGATCTGCTGGGATTTTTACACACAACCATTTCTGGTTTACAGAGAATGAGCTCGGAGAGAGAACATATCCAGTGACTCCTTTTTGAAGTCAGAGGCAAGAGGAGACTGGCCAGACTGCTTCAAGCTGATAGGAAGGCAAGAATAACTCAAATAACCACTCGTTATAAGCGAGGAGCATCTCTGAATGAAGAATGAAGAGAGAAAAGCATCTCTGAATGCACAACATTTTAAACCTTGAAGCAGATGGGCTACAGCAAGAAGACCACACTGGGTGCCAGTAGGGCACTTCTGAAGGCATAAAAGGGTGCAAACCTAATAAATTGACCAGTAACTTTATTTCTCTTCATAAATAAAAGTTGCTCAGTCACTCAGTGAAAGGTACAAACTACAGGGGGGGACCGTCCAATTGATCATTACAGCCACACTGCTTAGTGCATCTAGCAGCAGCATGACTGCTAGTATGACAGCTCTGCTTTCAGCTTGGCTCAGTTTGCTGCAAGCTATATTAAAAGAAAAAAAAAAAGTCTGAGTCTGTTAGTCAGTGAACACTTTTAGAATTACCCAAGAGCCAAACCATCCCTTCAAACAAGCAATGAGTAATTTGAGTGGTGAGTGAATGAGAAATGAGTGGAGAGGTCAGACACATGCAAAATACACTAATTCTAGGTAGGAAGAAATGTTTGTGTCTCGACTGCGACAGCACATCTGCCGTCTCGACTCAGGTAGTCACGGATGGATAGGTAAGTAATGAAGCAGGGGCCCCTCTTGACTGTTGGCCCAGTCTGAAGTCTCTTACCCTGGGGCACATTGAGGCTCTTTTCCCGAACCTGTGTGGAGCTGGGGACGACTAATGCTCTCGAGCCTTTTCTGTGATCTGGTAGGAGCAGGTAATGGGCTGGGTTGTTTAACAGCAAGGCTGGGAGTGCACACATAGACACACACACACACACACACAAGAGGATGCACGGGGCGAGGTGGGGTATACACAGGCACCACAAAGTGGATCGTACAACGCACAGAAAGTGGCACAAAGTACACACACAGCAAAACAAAATACCAATCATTAGCATGACAATGTTAGCATATCCATCATAATAAAAAGGGATGAGGTGGGGTTGCGCTGGCACATGGAGCACAGAACAAAAGTGCATTGCAAAAACAGGCAAGTTAACGTAACTCAGGCAACAATCAAACATAACAAGAACCAGTGGATAAAATAATGTTTCTGTTACTCGTGTTATTTCAAATTTACACAGGCGCCTAGTAAAGACGGCATGCCGACCTCCTGCGGTACAATGCAAGCAAAGGAATGCCTTTTATTTCTTTACTCGTCTTTCCCCCTCCCTTGTTGCTTTGTTCTTCCCTTTTTCCAGAACAATAGCTCTTTTGTGCCCCCTCTGTGCTGTGCATCTCCATGAAGGCCCTCTCCCTCGCAGGGTGTTTAGTTTGATTTACTTTAGCGTGGTGGAACGTGTTGTAAAACTATTGTTTTCTTGACATTCATGCCACATTTTTTCCCCCGTCTCCAAATGTGTTTGCTTTCTGATATGATCAACAAAGCAATCCATATAAACCACATACATTATTGTAGAAATTTACACACTGTACATGTGGAAGAGTGCATCGTTTCCAAGCCAGCTGCAAGTGGCTGATCAATCTTTGCCACCACACGTTTAGCATCAATCAAAACTAAGAGTGATTTCTTTGGATTGAGCAGCTACAACAGAAATCTTTAACCCCTCAATGAATCAAACATTTCCATCCATATCCTACATAACTGAGTAGGTACCTGTGCTGTCTCTGTGATCTCGGGGCCGGAGCAGGGCGCTGGGCTCCTGATACTCCCCTTCTGCCTCTCTGTCGTGGTCACGGTCATCCGGAAAAGTGTGGATGCGCTGGTAGCGACTCGAGTAGCTGTGGGTGTTATTGATGACCACGTTGTCCGAGGGGACCGAAAGGTGAACCCGCAGCTCATCGCTGGACAGACTGCCTTGGGCCTGGGGAGGGCAGAGTATTCAGGCAATATAAATGCACCATCTGAGTCTCCGGAGCAGATGTGATATCAAACCGTGGAAACAGGCACTGATCGTTACACAATTAGCAATAAATGTAAAATGATCCAGATGGAAATGCAGAGTGTCTCTGCCAAAAGACTGGCAGTTGTTATCTCAGGATGCCATCAATCACTTAAAATCGGGTAAAAGGACCAGCTCAGCCTAATCACATTTCTCGCTTAGAGCCATTTATTCAGCAGAAAGTAGTTCCACTTGAATCTGTTAACAGCAAAATTACCGTTTACCATTTTCGGTTCTCTAGAAAATTATCGTAATTTTTGAGGTTTTCAAGACTTTCTACAAAAGTAAACAAACATGTTTTAGCTGGAGTTTCAAAAGTTTAGCTAATAAAATCAGGACTATGTTTAAAAAGAAAAGCCCACACTGCTCATTATGAGTATATAATGAGTTGGCTTTTCTGTGGAGCTGCTCAGATATGAAGTATTACTATACTCATGCACTAAAAGTATCCCACAGTGCACACATACTTTAAAATGGGCTGGATGTGGTGACCCTAAACCCTCCCTTAGTTATACTGCAACACACCTGGGTTACTGGGGGCTTCCCATGATGCACTGAGTGTTTCCTTTTCACTTTCTGCATGTTTATACACCACTCTGCATTTAATCATTAGTCATCATTAACCTCTGTATCTCTTCCACGGTGTACCTTTGTCCTGTATCATCGTCATGTTGGAAAGTTTAAATGACTATACAGTAACCTACATAAAATTCCCAAAACAGGGAGTAGGGGAATTGTGAATGAATGACTGACTTTGGATACAACCCAAGATCGGATGAATATAAACCACTTGGGATAAATAAGAAAATGTTTCATGAGCTGATCCTCCATGAGCGCCAGTTTAATAAGGAATGCCATGTGACCCCGAGTCTGGACCCACCTTTCCCAGTAACTTTTTCCAGTACTGCCTCCAAAGAATGACAACTATCACAGCCAGGAGCAGAAGGATGATGCCCACCAGGCAGCCAATCAGAATGGCTGTATTGCTGCTGTCGTCTTTAGCCACGGGAAGCCCCGCCCTTGGAGTAACAGCAGCAAACGCCGGCCCTGGAGAAGGCAAATAGAGGATGAAATGTTAGCATGTTTCCTTGATTTCCTAAAAGTTGCATGCGGGTCTGACGTCATGTCCATCGATCACCATGCAACACCGGGTTCTTCGTGTGTGGGTGCTTGTGAGAGACCGCACGCTAGTCTGAGTTAATGCTCTGGTCAGACTGCGAGGATTTGCTCTTTCGGCACAGTCACGCTCTCACTGAGGTCACACGCCAATGCTGTTTCATCAGGCTTACAAAGCATCTGATAGGGATTGCCTGTGTGAGAATGCATTTAGTATGCCCGCTCATACCAGAGAGCTTCTCAGAGCCCGCTGCTGTGAGAACAGTATGTCAACACTGTTTGGCTTTATGCAGCGCTTTAAAGTCAACTATTAATCAGAATCAAGCAGCTATTTCTTCTCCTTTGAAGGTCAAATGTGGCGTGTAATTTGAAAGATGAATGAAAGAGTTTCCTCGGTACAGTTTAGTGTAAACTTTTGCCCATAAACAAACCCTTACAGGCAACAGAGAAACTCATGCAATATGGTGCATAATGCATTTCCGTGGATGTGCGCACATAAATGCATATCATCAACAAACACACACCTGCGCCCACGCTAATGCGCGCACATGTACCACCAATTGATACATTACAATGTCAGAGCAGAAGACGGCCCCTTTCTGTCTGTCACTTCAACACCATGCGGGTAATAAATAAACCCAAACAAAGCCCTTCAACCGCAGCCAGTAACGAGGACAAAGCAGCATACACGCCACAGAAAACCATTTCCAGCTTTCTAAAAAGCCTGTTATTGTTTAGCTGTGGAGACTAGAGCCAGTTCCCGAAAAACATGCAGTTTGTGAGACCACAGGAAGCCCAGTTGTTATTCATACATAAATAAATTTTACTATAGCTCGGTTAGTGTTTTCTCCTCCAGCTGTATATCTTCAAACCCAGGGGACAGAGCCCGGTGCCAAAGACTGCCCCTGTAATCCCTCTCCCATTATACTTCGTACTCTCTACCGAGCAATGGGACAGTTTTAAGATGTTGGAGGAGGGCCAGAGCGGATGGAGCTAGCTTCCCCACCCCTCTGATCATCCCCTCTCTTCTCTTTTTTTCCTCTCACCTGAAAGCGTCCAGTTACCAGTGGTGTCCATCATGACGGCGGTGGTGGTGGTGGGGGGTTCTGGAGGAGCGAGGGATGGACAAAGGAGGAAGGCATGAGAAGAAAAGTGGTGGAGACTCAGAAGAGAGTGATGAGCAGAGGAAAAAAAGTCCTGGAAAGCAGAATTCTGCCTTTTTTCTTTTACTCCGATACAGCAAGCTTTAAAGTTCAAAAAACTTTTTAAAAGCCACACTGTTATTTAATGAAACATTTGACCTTTAATTTTAAGCCTGATTTCTCCTTTAAATACAACACACTGTGTTAGATAAGGATCGGGCACAGAGGTTCAGGCAAAGAAATTTCAGAGCTCGTGATGACGACAGACGCTAGTCAAACACGTGCCTCCTTTGGCGCTGCATGCCTCTGGATCTGCTTCATACGCATGACACAGGTGCACTGCCGACATGCTTACACTCATCGCAACAGGAAAAGAAGAGATGGGAGATGATAGAGAGATCAGGGGAATTAGAGATGCAGTAGAGCGCAGCATGGACCACGGAGGGGTAAATGAAAGAGCACGGCAGGTGATAAAAGGAGACAACAGAGAAGGAATGGTAAGTGGAAAGAGTGAGAGGGGAGATAAACGTCGGGGTGATGAGCAGAGGGATAGAGGGGAAGCGCAGGACTCACCAGTAGGCCCGGTAGTGGAATTGAAGGCACCGCGGCTCGATGTGGGAGCAGAGGAGGTGACATTAACAGGAGGAGGAGAAGATTTGGTGCCAGGAATCATGGGAATATTTGGAGGAAATAAATCAGTGTCTGTGACATCCTCCTCAAATGGCTCTGAATAACCAAAAAGAGACAGAGGGGAGGGGGAGAAGTCAATTTAATGAAAATAAATCATGTTTTATGTGTTTAGAGGGTTTTATGTGACGCAGCACACCTTCTGGTAGCCCGCAGCTGTGAGGAAACAGTGACTGTGGTCACAGCTGGTTGTTATTCCAGTGAAAGCCAATTAATTCCATTGCATTTAATTACCTTGTTTTTGACTGGGAACTGATCCTTTCCTTATTGATTAACATGACTGATTGTGTTAGCTCACTAACCCTCGGCAGGTAATCAAATAACATACTCTGTTTTGTTTGCACAACACAACCAGCATCTCGGTCTTGTAGCTCACGTATGACTAAATGTTAATGCAGGAGTCGACCAGAGAGCTGGAAGGAGTTTGCTGTCAACTTTCAGAAACCAGAGGAGCTCTGAGCATACTCTCAGCTGCTGAATGCAGAATGAATGAGCGCCGAATGTTTATATGGACCCCCTAATGTGAGAGATAGACTGTAGACATACGTGATTAGAGGGTGTAAGGAACATCTGACTCTGAAATTACCTCTAAGTCAGCAATGCTAGCCAGGTGGATAGTTGAGTAACAGGTTATCAACCAGGCCGATCGCTTTGTGATGCCAGATGTGAGCCAGCTCTAACTAACACAGCATACAGCTGCATTTGTCGGTAGTTTTGTGAATAAAGTCCGTTACAGACCTCGTACAACCTTTCTTTCCGTGTCAGACGCTTGAACCAAACGTCATTTGGTCATTTATCACCAGTCTGGCTCGAGTCCAGCAGCAAGACGTGGACTCGAGAGAGCCCCTGACCTGAGCCACCTAAGTTTGGTGAGATAACTCGTTTGATTCTTATCCAACTACACCTGACAGTGTTTTTAACTAGAAAAGACAGCTTAATTAGTCACAGTAATCTGAAGCTGAGAGCAGAGGAGTCCTCTATCCGACTTTGACTCAGATAGGCATGAAACTCATCTTTCTCTGTTCGCCTTCATGCTGCGCCTGATTGTTGTAACCTAGACACAGATAATGAAGACAACAGATGGAGGGAAAATAGTCACTTTTTTAAAAACAGTGTTTTAGATCAGGTAGAAAAAAAATGAATGCTAATTATGTTCACAGATGGGCTGCTTTGGGTTGTTAAAATTCTGAATAGGAAAGTACTGATAATGTCTCAGAGAATAGCATGATTTTTCTGTTCATGTCCAAAAGAGGACTCTCAAATGCTGATCATGTTAATCAGTTAAAAGGCTGAAAGCTTCACTCTAAAAGCCACAGAAATACAGATAAGCAGCTCCACTTTACTTAAATTTTACACTGAACACCTCAGGAAAGCTGATTGCTGTAGCATGGATGAAAATCCAATCTCTCACAGGTCGGTATTTTTTGGCTTTTTGTTTTGGTGCCATCTATATTTAGCCTTTCCCTAGACAAAGCCAAATCTCAGCTTGACTTCCACGATAGTGCAAGTTGATAGGATATGTGTGACGTAAGCGCCTATCGTCTATAGAAGCAATAACCGCCTGCCAGAGTGGCAAAAATACACATCTCACAGATGAAAAAAATGGACAAACTCAATTCTGTTTCCTACCAGAGAGGAAAGATATCTCGCTGATGAGCAGCCAACGGTCGGCAAAGTAGAATTTGCAGCGGAGGATCTGAGCCAGCCGGCCCCCCAGTGGGAGAGAGATGGGTCGTGACGAGGGGTCTTTTAGATCCTCGAGGGGCACAGGCAAGGTGAGGGCAGGAGAGGACCATGGCTGGAGGATGCCAGGCTTAAAAAGGCACTCCACTTTGCTGAAAACTCTCACACCCTGTGTGTGACGGTTATTACTGTGCACCTAGAGGAAGGAGAAAATTGTGTGAGTGCAGAGAAGCAGAAAAAGAAAGAACAGATACGGTGGCGAAAAAAAGTTGCAATCAGTTACAAAATCTTTTCACTACCTGTACATCGGAAATAGCTCATGGAAATATCTGGAAAACCTTTCGACCTTTGTCAATCATTATCCGCGGAAAGGCAGGAAATTAACACACAAAATTAATGACACATTCTCTTTCTGTTGAGCCATAATTGCTTTGGCACGACTTAGAGCAGAGCCGGGCTGCAAATTAACAAAATTAGAACACAGGAGGAGGGAAGAAGGATAGAAGAAAAGAAAGTGTATGACAGAAGAGAAGAGAATAGAGGATAGTTCTTCTCTGTTTTACAAGCAGGGAAAGGCCAAAGACGGAAGAATCCATAAAAGCGGAATTAATATATACGAGGAGTCGTTGTGGCTGGAAGCGGAAAGAGGAGCTTGACAAGAAGAGATGAGGATGTGGGGAAAGACGGAGGTTGGTCAATTGAGGTCAAAAGTATAGATCTAAGAGACTGAAAATTAAGAACGAGATGATAAGAAAAATTATTTTTTCCCCTCTTAGAGAGCAGAGGCTGTTCTGACAGGTTAGCTGTAAACCTTACACACTGAAAGGCCAGCTGCTCTAACCTAATCCACATGTTAATTCTCTCTCACACACACACGGCGTGCAAGTGTTTCTGTTTGGAAAGGGGACAAAATGGGGTGTGTGGGTATGCACTGGAAGTTGGTGGTAGAGGTAGAGCTCTGATAAGTCAACAGAAATGAGGAAATTTACTACTCCTTCAGGGAATGCAGCTGCAAGAGACTCACCAAAAGCTTAATGTAAGACACACGTTAAGAAATCAAGGGATAAGTTTGTCTACGTCCACATGCACGGGAAAAAATGTTGGACAAAAATGAACCAAAGAACAGAACAGAAACTTTAGAAAATGTGTAAGAAGTGCAGGTTATGGCTGACAAAATGTCAAAGGGCAGATTTCTCTTATTAAACACAGTTTGAGGAACTGCGGTCTTCAGAGACGAGTCAAGCCAGAATCAGGTTCAGGTTCCCTCTCCTTGTTTATTTGACCTGTGTGTCTGACATATCCGCTCGGGCAGGCTAGTGTAACGCTGCGTGTCAGTTGAGGTTAGTGTATGAAAACCACTGTGGAAAAGGCAAGAAAAACAGGATAAGCGTAAGAAAAACACCACGAATACCGCTGGGAGAGATTTTTAAAAGGTAACGGAGGTAAACTGTGGAAAAACACGTGGAAAAAGAAAATAAAGATTCAAAAAAAATGTTCAGTCACTGTCAGGAGATTTCAGAGTAATTACTTGTGCCCTTTATAAGGCATGCAGGCTGTTCAATCCACAGAGATGTATATGGTGCTTCTCACCCAAACCGACATTCCAGTCCGCGTCCAATGAGACAACAGTTATAATTCAAACTGGGTTGCTTCACACCATTATCCCCCTCATTGCTCCACAAACTAACCACAAAAGCCGCACAGACGCACAAACAGACTGTGATGCAATTTGGTGGCTCCCAGAGAGACGAGCACTGATGCACTGTCCCATCATAAACAATGGCGCATTCAAACTAATTAAATGGCTGCAGAGCTATTCCAGTAAAAATGTTGCTTCCTGACGCTGCAGATAAAGGAACTTAGTGCTGTTTAAAAAAGAGACACACAGACACATAATGGTGCTGATGGAGTTCGTTTTAGGGCCCGAGCTGCTTGGAGACAAAGGAATTTCTAAGCAGTTTCATCAGATGGAGAAATGGGACATGATTGTTTTGGGCGAATGAGATAATTAATCAACCAAAACAATGTATTAATTACAAATACTTCTTTGTCAAGTCAATGGCCTGTTCATAACACAGGAAGACAGACACAGAGCAGTTAACAAAAGTTAACATTTTTGTGCCTTCGAGAAGCTGGACGCATCGAGGTGCTTCAAACGTTCAGACTGTAGCCCATAAAAAAGAAAGTTTGATTCGACTGCTGTCTGGTTTTCTCAACTTAAGTTGTTTTGGAGGGTTTTTTTGGCGGACAGTTAGAAAAAAAGATCTTAATTTTAAGCTGAAAAGGATGGCATGCATCAAGGACGCCCCATTTACTGAGCTGTGCTTTGAAATGTATCACACAGACAAAGAGACTCCTGTTGGATGGAAACTGTGGAGGGTTTAACTGCCAAAAAAATAAATATTAACTACATAAATGCATTTATATGATCTTAAAGGCACCAATCAATTTAACTGTTACATATAGAGGGAAATCTCAGTTTTAATAAGCTCCTGTGTTCCTTTCCCTCCTGGTACCGATTGCCCTGTTTATACATATATGATTTTTCCTTTGTATTTTCCCTCATATTTATTCCCCAAAATGTATTTATTTTTGTGTTTGTTCTTTATGCATTTCTGCTTATAAAGGGGGGATTATTCAAAGTGTAACTGCACCAGCCAGAACAAAGCTATTAGTTTTCTACCAGCACGCAAAGAAAAAATAATACAGAAATAAATCCATAAATAAATGAGTATTTCTTAAATTAATATTAATACATGGACGTGTGAATAAACAGGGGAGAGCAGGGGAAAGCAAATGGAAACCATTTATGCCACATTTTCTTTAATAAGTCAAGATCTATGTTCAATTTTAAACTGTAAAAATGTAGATTTCAATTATATTTACCGACTCTTTCTTTCATTTACTATGGCAGTTTCACATCTCCATGAACAAAGTCCTGCCATGTCTTCTTAACCGTTCACCCAAAACAAAAACACAGGAAATGCACTGAAATGTGACCTGATATGAGATTATCAAAAGACATAAAAAACTGGTTTGCGATAAAATGAGCGACGGTTTCTAAAGATGATCATTCTTACAAAGTGGATCTCCTGGAAGGCACAGACCATTCACTGTCGCTTTTAGCCGCAACGGCATCTCTGATTTGCACGCAGAGCGACGCTATCTGCAGAGGTAACAACGCCCTGCACAGATTTATACACGCACTACTGCACACAAGCACAACTTCGAGTGCCTACCTGCATGTGGTGGAAGACTCGTGGTTTCTCAAAGTGGAACTCAATATCCACGCTGCCTTGCCCGAGGGCTTCCCGGCTCCAGCCCAGGTAGTCATACCCAGGCCACACCCTCAACTCCTTAGTCTTTGTAAAGTCGTCTCCTCCCAGGACACCGTCACACAGCTGACCAAGCCCTCCAAACTGTATCCTGCACACAAACAAGCAACAGGTAGCTTTAACTAAAGAGGTAGTGCAAAGTGTTGAAGTGTCCTCGGGCACTTATTGCATTGCTACTGAACCCCAAATTGGTTTTTGTGCGCACCAGAGGTTAAAAGAAAAAAAGAGAGAGAGAAAAAGTGTATAAAGGCACAGAATAAAGCACCAATTGTGTGTCTGAGTGTGGCTTTTAGAGCTCAGTAAGAAAAGAAAGTGCTTTGTAAGGACCCGTACATTTACCATTTAAAGCAGAAATAAAGCTGTGTGCACCAGGATGCACACACACTAACACAAGTTCAAACACAAACCTCAACCCCACTTCGTTTTCCCCCTACAAACACACACCTCAGCAAACAGCAAACACTAAGCAACAGAACTGGATCCCCAAACAGTTCCCCCCACTGCCGACCATACGAGCCCTCACCCGTGCGTTTTGCTACGGGAGCGTCTGGATTACATCAAAAGTGCTACATCACTGGCTAACAAAACATTTCAGCCCCATTAAGCGCACAGCCCACGCAAGGGTGGACACCACCCCCATTTCCCCCCCTCCACGGCTCCCTACCAAAAACCTCACGGCCAGGAAACATGCCTCAAATCCCCGAACAACTAAAGAAAATAATGTCATTCCCTTTCGATTAGGCCGACTGGATAAACCTCATGAGAGGATTTGGCTTCAGAGCTAGCAGATGTGATAAGCACAGTTTTTGTTACACCATTGATGAAGCCACAAATATCATCATGATAGCGCTTCACCCCACATTCCTGGGTGTCACTAATGTGGTGTGAATTGTTGTCATGATCATATTTCACATTTGCCGCTGCAGTGCCGTGATTTATAAACGAGGCCGTGCCTGCACATTTCCATTAGAGCGAAATCCAGGCGTTTATGGAAATCCAGCATACTCGTGCATAAAAATGAAAATGGAAAAGATGCTCGGAGCAGATGTACGTCTTACCCTTGTTCCGTGCTCCCATCATAGGTGGAGTCGTTGAGATACACAGACATGCCGGGCAGCTGCATGACATGACCCACTGGAGCTGTGTAAGCCTTCAACCCATCTGAAACACGGCAAGACGGGAAGAAATATTAGTCGAGAGGTCCTTGAAACAAGCATTTTTTTTCCCCGTTTTCATTGCGAGTAGTTCAACATGTACAGAGCCAACAGAAATCCCAGCTGCAGGGAAGAACTGCTACAGCTGGATTTCAAGCAGTAAAACAAACTAAAAGGCCAGCTTCTCGGGCCTGCTTGGCCCATTCACCATCCACCAGCGGAACTCGAGCCTCCTTGCCTCTAATGTACACCTAATCAGCCCACTCCCTGAGAACAGAGGTGACGTCAGTAACGCTGACTCCAGCCCGGTGCTTTGCTACCCAAAATAAACACAGTTCTTCACATAACATATGTGCAGCACGCCCTGATTGCACATAAACATGTGTCTTTAGATGTGAGTATTTGCAGGTACCGGTGTGCGAGTGCTTGAGAGCCAAGCAGGTTAAAGCAAGTTAAAGCTAAGGAATAATAATGGGGTGACATTGTGCTGCCTCTCTAAAATCTGATATGGAATGAAATAAAAAGGTCAAATTGCACACATTTGACCTTTTATTTCATTCCATATCAGACTTTAGAGAGGCAGCATCACATTGTGTAGATTCTGCATAATCTCCAGCCCGTAGGTAAAACGAAAAGGGAAAAGAGCCGAAAGCCACATTCAAGCATATTTCAGAGGGATGGTGTCCCTGAAGACACAGACCGGGAACTGGTCTTTTAGTGCCAGTGGCAGTTGTGATTTACTGACAACCCAGTGAGCGTCTGAGGGAGGTGGGTGGGGCAGGATAGGAGACATAAATACTCAGTGAGTCAGTGTTGTGCTTCAGCAAACATGGAGACCAACACCATTCATCAATATGGGGCTTCTTTTATTTGGCCAAATCCCACAAAGGCTGTAAATTTGAATGCCTCAATTCGATGTATGGAATGCATGAAAAAAAAAAAACAACCCACACACTTGTGATCATTACCATCTGATACAGGATCAAATCTGGGACGACAGCCAGCTAAGCCATCTTCACCATATGAAATATTTTATCTGATCTGGAGGGCACGCAGCGCCTAGCACAGACAAAACGAGTGTCCGTAAAATCGGGGACGCTGTGCGACGTCGTCCATCAACTCCACGCTCAAACACACTCACCGTTCCAAAGGCAGCCATAGAGCTCCACCCGAAGACAAACGCTCATAACCCGGTCGGCGAGGGGGTAGAATCGCACCATGCGAGCCACAATGGGAGGTCCGAGGTCTTTCAGCACAACATCATAGGTGTTCTCATTACCAGACACCACCTAGGGGAGAGCAGTTCAAATATTCAATCACACAGCATGTTGTTTGCCTCTGCTAATAACTGTAAGCTTGAATAAATCAACACCTTAAGGCGCCCAAACTTTATTCAGAGTGCATTTTCTGAATTTGTTAATCCAAGAGGAGCTGAAATGAACTGACTGAACTTTTTCTTTAATACATAAAGGTGCAAAGAATGATTGATTTGAGAGGTTAGAGCCTCAGGCTGTTTTTAGATGAAACACATTAACACAAAAAAATTACTTCAGTTTGCAGTTTCTCAATATTTGTTGTGTGTCAATATAAGGTCCAGAATAATAAATGCAAGTGAGAGCCAAACAGTGTAAGGCCTTCCTTAAAAATTTTGTTGTCGGAGTTTGTAATTCCCAAGCTGCCATGTAAGAGTGGTACAAAACACAGAGTACGATGTATCACCAAATCGAATATTCAACAGATGCAATAATAGGGGTTTTAAAATAATATAAACTCTGCAAATGCATTCGTTGCATTGTTCAGCCAGAAGCTTGGCTTAGTTCCAAACTGCTCAACTTCACAATGAATAATAAGTTAATCAAATGCAAATGAATTATACAGATAGCTGTGATTAACACTTCATTTATACTCAACAGCCCCAGGATATTAAGTCGTATCCTATCAATAATGGAGTCGCCCTCAGCTGTATGTTTCTCGTGTTGACACCCCACTTGCTCATTTAATGACATTCAAACTGTTATTTCGCTCCATTTGTTTACCAGGCGTGACAGAAACAGAGGGATCCAGTTCATTTGTAATCAAGGCGAGGACGTGAGAAAAATCCCACTCACATCTTGGCCCCAGCGGTCCTTCCAGGTGATCCATTTCTCTCCATCTCGGGAATAGCGGAGCCGGTAACTGCGTGCAAACTCCTGACCGTGCCCATCAGCGTGGCGACCTTGAGTGCCGACCAGAGCCAGGAAGTGGAGTCTGCGCAGGTCAATCTACAGATGACAGATGATCATAACATATGTCACTCAGAAAGCTGGAAATGCCAACAAGATTTAAAAGTACTGGGATGCTTCCAAACTCACCTACATTTACTCATATTGTTCAATTTCAATATATTTTAGGACTTATTTTCATATGCTTATGATAGTCTAAAAAGTGTGTGCTCAGAATGCAAAGAGCTGATTTGGGAGGATATCGATGACCTTGATGTAGAGAAAAGATGATTAGCACGGTCTAGACTGAAAAAAATGTGTCCTTGTAGGATTACAGTTAAGAGCTTCTTTGCCACTGCAATTTCAATGATTTTTAAAGATAGAAAGAAGAACTCATGAAAAGCATAAAGAGATCTTATCTGTCTTTCAGTATCTACTAAAAGCTGGGAGTGACACACGCATGCATTAGGAGAAGAAAAAGGAAAACAGCGACCCTGCTTCTGTCCAGAGGTAACAAACATAATGACTGGTAAAATAAAATCCTATCTTTGTTGCATTTTTTGCACAACTGTAACAAACATCCATCCACCCGATTTCTTAACCTTTGGAGTCTATCCTAGCTGTGATGGGTGAGATGCTGTGTATGGCCCGGATGGATCACCAGTCCATCACAGGGACTAACACAGAGAGAAAGGCAACCTTCACATTCACTGCCAGTTTAAAATCCTCAATTAGCCTAACAAGCATGTTTGTAGCTGTGGGAGGAAACCAGAGTTCCTGGAAGAAGAAGAAAAACGCACATGCACAAGGAGAAAACGCAGACTCAACATTTTTTCTCCTAAATGTTTAAACAGTATATTTGCACTTTATTATTATGCCCAACGAAACCTTATAGCTTCTGCAAAACCACCTCAAAGTAAAAATCTGTCTGAATTATTGAACAGACTTTTATAATGGTTACAAATGCACTCACACCTTGTTAATCATTAAATATCAATCAATACCTTTCACGAAACCAGAAGCTGTACTGAGCAATAAGTGCACCTGCAAATCAGAGCAGAAAAAGATGAGCATCGCACCTGAAGGTACTCTGATCCGCTGGGGAACACGGATCCTAATGGACACCACGCTCCGTCCCCCTCTCCAGTACTCAACCTGAGAAAGAGACGGAGATAGAGAGACATGATAATGTCAGATAACAGTAAAGGAAAACAAACTGCAAGTTGTTTAAAGCGAAAACACAAATCGGAAGTTCACGAAATCCCAGTCCCACACGCAAACACTCGCACGCAGATACAAACATGACTACAGACAGACTGCATCAAAACCCCGAGTGCCGGCAGTGTGCAGAGGTACAAGTGAGAATTCAGCGCAAACAGTCCAGTCCTCCACCAGCACAAATTGGATTTTACAGCAGCCAAACATTCACATATAAATACGACAACACTATCTGACAAAGAGAGAAAGACGCATGAAAACTGGAAATGGCTAAAGACAGAGAGACTGAGAAAACCTGCAGACCCCTGTTATTACTGTATATTGATTTTTAGTTGATGTTGAATCTGTGTTTTTAATTTCACTTTAGGGTCCAGAGTAAATTTCCTGCTTTCAGTGTTTAAAAATGTTGGTTTCAGTTTTTATATATAGTTTTTATATGCATATATATTTATGTATTTTGAGTTTGTTTATTTGTCTAGAATGTGGTTTCAGTTTAAAAAGTTCAAAAGTCTAGTTTTTATCTTGAAATGTTTTTGTGCACTCTGTTTAGTTTAGTTAACCAACCTCACGGAAAAAGCAGAGAACACAAGCGGCTCATGAAGAGAGGAAACGAGATGAAAGGAGCAGAGTGAAAATTACCGGCTCCTCCACATTCTTCAAACCTCACAACAAGATCTGTGCAGTGTCGAGCGTCAGGACCAATCTTTGCTCGCAGGCCTGCCACGACCACACACGCACCAAAGGTTTTCACTCAGCCCAAACCCTAACCCTGAGAAGAAAAGTTCATAGCAGCACCGCGGAGCAGCCGCACGACGACCACAAATTTGGCTGTGTGCGACTCCGACTCGTACCGAGGAGCTTTGGAACAGACGCCAGGCCACAACCGCGCTCTGACCACCGTGGGGCTTCTCTCAAAATGAAAGCTGCTGCTCAGACCACCAAAACAAATCACTGTATCAACTCGGTCGCACTGACAGCCATGCTTGGACTTTAATCACTCCCGTTCTCCCCTCAGCGGGTGAGATCATGCTGCTGGGAACCACAAGATGATATCAACACATTAGGGCTCCACCAAGTGTCCTCTAATGGAGAGAGGATGAGGAGGGAGAGCTAGCGTGCACCAGCCAGCATGGATAACATTACAGAACAGCGCTCTGCCAAGTAACTCATTTTTCTCCCGTCTCACTGTGTGTCTGTCTTTTGATTCCTCCCTAAATACCAGCCAACTCTTCATTCGTCTCCCATTGTTCACAGCTCACTCATTCCCTCCATCATTTCCTCTCTTGTCCAACCAATAAGCTGGTATTCCACTGGCCAAGCGTAATCACCTACCAGCTCTGCATCTCTCCCTCCACACACCACCCTCCCTGGAAAAAAAACCCTGCTTTCAGATTAATTTCCCCCCAACCTTTCAGCACGCCATCGCAGCAATCCACCTCACACTTATTTTATTTTTATTTATTTATTTTTTTTAAACTTCATGTCCGCTGCTCTCTCTGTTTTCTCTCTTTTTGGATCTCCCTGATGTGCCTTAAAAAGAGGCTGCGCTAATAATCATTTCCACATGGTTAGACGCTCTGCCAAGAGACCCAACCCAGCAAGCTGATGGAGGCAAGTGAACCCAAACACACACATGCACGATCCCACAGATTACACGTGGCGGTAACATGTTGCAGACCTTACAGCCAGACAGAGAAGGTGGTGATCTAATTACCAAGTAGGTTTTAAGAAGACACACACAAACTATCATCTTCCACCTTAATCTAATAAACCTGCTAAAAATTACTTTAGCACGGTGCCAACAGACTGAAAATAAGACAGCACATCAGCCTGGCATGAGCACTGGAATATCTCATTCCTGTGGAAGAGAGATTGCTTCAATTTTGCTCAGCAAGTTTAAATACATCAGCAGAGTATGACAAGTGGCCAGCATGACATCTTGACTCCTGAAAGAGATGATAACACAGCCTGATAATTGGGCCCAATTACCATTTTGCTGCACTTAAAGACTCTGTATACGATTCGCTGAACAAATCAGAAATGTGGGCGGCAATTCAGACGACCACTACCAGGCTATTAAATCCGCCCTATCAAGTAGAAACCAGCTGAGATCCCAGTCGGTGCTGCTATTCAAAGAGGTGATTATGTTTTCTTTATAAGAAGCTTTCTCCCGTGGCTGGCTTGGAAAGAAAAAGCAACCCAATTTTAGAAGCACCACACCTGTGGTTTCGCGTGCGTCAATCCATTACACCTCACATCAACCCTAATCATTCTGCTCTCAAACCATCCTTTAGCATTTTTTCCCTACTTCTCCTGGCGTCTAATTGTTCTTTTTGATCTCAATACGGTGTGAAAATCAAATCGCTCTGAGAAGTTATTCGAGTTACGTAATCCGTCACAGCGAACATCAAGTCTGTATTCATTTTGTCACTGTTACACTTTCACTGCGTGGTGATGTCTGCTGTCTGAGCTGTATTATCTCACCACATCAAAGCGGTGACAGCCAGGAATAATAGGAAAAGAACTTCTGAATTTAATTACTGTACAGCACACATCCAAAATAAGTCGAGTCGCTGCTGCTGTCCTAAAAAAAACAACTTGTAAATCTGCCATTTTTTACTTTCTAATAGCAACAGAGTATAGCACTTGGACAAAAATCAAGCAATTTATCATTCCCTGAAACCTTCACTTAGTTGCTCTGATGCAGATGTGAACCCAAAGGTATGTGTGTTGGTGCACGGTGACATCACTGCTGTTGAAAACTGTTTTTCAGCCGTCGTAACCAGAAACCGCTCTTAACCCTGCGTTATAACTTTCCACGTAACCCGGCATGCACCTTTTTAGAGAAACGTAACTCATCTTGGGTCGATGCAGCCCTCACTGAGTCTGACTGACATTGGAGGTTGCGGCGCGGGGTTAGAGGGGTTTCCGGTTACATCATAAGTCACGAAGTAGATTTCTTGCTGAAGCAGAATTCAAGCGTAACTCTTCAAAAACTCGTCTTTAAAAACGGGACGGCAACCTGCTTGCAACTTGGAAAAGTCTGTAGATGTTTGGTGACTGCAGGTGGTTGTGGCAACCAGCTTTCAATCACAAGGCAGTTGCACAGGTTGCATGGTGGGAGGCAACCTGTCTCCAAACAATCGGAGTCAGAAAGTCAGAAAGACTGGCAAAGGTTTGAAAGTAACTTACATCTAATTCATAAATGCAGACATATTCAACACACTGTAATCAATCCAAGTCAGAAACTCATCTGCAACATGTCTCTTACTGTTACTCAGTGCAACTGGTTGCCAACTGGTTGTATACTGGTTACGATGCACATTTTGCATTTCCTTTGAGGTTCTGGCTCTACTCTGAATCTAAACAGGTATTGTGAATTTCTGTCTCTGTAGATTGCAACAGATTTGATCACCTTCAGCTGCACATTGAGTTCATCTTATTGCTGTTTTATTGCAGCTTTGTTGTGACTGTAGCATAAGCGGAAGGAGAACTACAGATTTTAGACAAAAGTTTGTGTTTGTGGAAATGTGCTTAGGTATTTGAGAGTAACCTTTGAACTCCAGGTACAACAGACACACAGACACACACTTCCCACCTTCCATGTTTGGCCTCTGTGGAGTCTGACCAGGCGCTGGAGGCAGTGATGTCAGAATCTGGAATGGTGCCATCCTCCATCCCCAGGGCGTAACGACACTGAGCTGTGAGGGAAGGGTTGAGGGAGATAAAGACAGAGAAGGAGAGAAAGACACAGGCCGGATAAAGATATGAGAAAAATTCTCCTCCGTGTGGAGCACATGTCAAGGGGAAACTTAATATTTCCATTAGAGCATGAGTGGTCATCATTGGTCACGGAGCATAATGTTGTTATGTCATTTCTGGGAAAACTTCCGGACTTTATGCTTCATAACTCACACAGACAGTGAGTGGAAGGGGAAAAATGTAACGCTCCTACCTTTGCTTTTATTTGCTTTAATGTCCGTTGGTACTGCTGAGTTCATGCAATGCGTAATGTCACTGTCACTTATTCCGGTAATACCTCTTTGACTAGTCACAAGTGACTTCATTAGACGGACTGCCAGTAATACCCGTATGCACCTCCAAGTTTATGCTCACAGCTTATGAGGCCACCCGCTGTGAAATACTGTGACCTGTCAATACACCTTTCCCATTTCTTCAGTCCCTTTTGTCTTTCCATGCAGCTCTCCAGCTCGCACAAAGCCACCTCCTTAGGGCTCCAGTGATCCCGTTTCTTTTGGGCATTTGCAGAGAGAGAACTAAAGCGAGAAAGAAACTAAGGGCGATGGAATGAGCACAGACAGGTCTCCGATATCTGCACCGACTCTGCTCCAGCGGCAGCATTATCAACCGATCCAGATAGCGTGGTCCCAGGCAGGGATTACCCAACGATGGCGCTATCTGAGGACGAGGTGAGGGGGTGAGAGGCTGCGGGAGCGTTTGGGCAGTGATAAAGTGGAAAGGGGTTACTGACAGCGATATGCAGGGTTGGCTGAGGGTGACATAAAGAGGCGGGGGTTGGGTGGGCGTCTAACTCAGTTTCTGTCATTGACTCAGTGAACAGGAATGTCGGGCCGCATGACAAACCCTAAAACCTCCCAACGGACGCAACACACACACAATTCATCCACACCCTGAGGACAGGTGCCCATTTCATTACATCATCATCATTATACCACATCGCCAGTCAACAGCCCGCCATCTGCAGTCTTTTCACCTCTCGCTCTCTCGTCTCTGCCCCGCTGTGTCCTCTGGCTTCACTTTCTCTGTCTGTCATCTTACATTAAACTTTAGCGCATGCACCAAACCTTGCTGCTCACACTGCCAAGCTTGATTTAATCATTTCAACAAGACAAAATGCGAGCGTCTCTATTGCACTACACAGACTGCTAATTTATCTAGATTCACAGATATGATTAAGTAATAAATCAAACAGTCATTTAACAGGCGATTACTCCTCCCAAAACAATTTTTTAATTAGAGCTGTAAATAATAACCTTTTTCCAATACCAATCACTCCTCTTCAGTTTTTACTATATAATTTTTTCTGTCAGTTAAATAATAAAAAGATAGGCACAACCAGAACGAGCTTAATCTTATGTGTCAGAGACCATCAGAGAAATCTTTCTTGAAAACTGTTTGGAAAAGAATCTATACTTTCAGAGAACAATGTTTGCCCTGATCGTGGTCTATCACCGTCTACCAGCAGCTAAACTTCAACCGAGAGCTCAAGAAACCGTAAGATCAAGAAGTAAAAGGATATATTTATAAAAATATGTACATAAAAGATGGAAGAAACACTGGCAACAGGGGACGGAGACTCCTCTGTTTATGAAAAAAGACCGTTAGTGAATATTTTCAGATGATCTTAATAGCTTGTTTTAAGTCTTTTTTTTTTTTAAAAATAAAACAATGTGTTTGTTTTGTGAGTTACAGACCCACGAGGAGTAAATTGACCATATAAAGCATATGTCCATCGTTGAGATGTATGGTTTCACAAAAGTAAGATGGCTCCAGCCAAAGCTTCTAAATGAGACATCAGAAATCAGTGGATAATGCCCTGGTGATTCAGTCCATCCTTTATATACAGTCTATGGGAAAAACAATCCATTGTCTAATGGGATTTGAAAGCTAAAAAGCAGTCAGTGTAGGAGATGCAGACACAAATGACTAAAATCAAATATTCATTTTATGAAAAACACCATCAGGCCTTTCAAGGACTCACACTGGCTGTGTTACTGTTAGCCATTACCTGTTCACTTCTATTTTGGGTCTCTGGTACTCCACTGGTAAGATGTGCACTTTATTTGAAAGCCTGCACCAAAAATGTAAACGAAGCAATTGCCACAAAATCTGGGAACTCATTGGCTAGTCATCTCACCTGATTTTTACTTTCAGTGAAGCCAGCAGATATCTGGGCCAAAATTTCCTTTCCCCTGCACCGGTGATTTCTTATGAACACAGATACTTAACAAAAAAACTAAAAACTATGTGGACTGTTTACCTGCATCCAGTCAGGTCCACCACAGATTTAAATCTTCTGGCACCAAAAGACTGTCCAGGACAGAACAGCACAGCTAGAGTATGTTTTGCTATCCAGAGCGATGCTAATCAAGATACCGCCCATGCAAATATCATGTTTAATAATTCGACTAGTTGTTTCAGTTGTAATTTGGGTACACTTTAAGCAACTTCATGCAAAAACTCATAAATTTACTCAAATGTTTGCTGGTTTTTTTGTTTTATATCAGCTTAAATATTGCTTAAATGTCACATGCTGGCAGCAGGGGATAATTTCAAGAATAATTAATGAATTAAACAAATACTAAATGTATAATTAAGTTAGTAATGACAATTACAGATTTGCTCTTATTCACAGACCAGCTGCTCCAGTCCAAAGTTTGGCCGCCCTGCAGACACTCTCCTCTGGTTACACCTGGCTGGCACACATTTACTAACTCCTCATGCATTCCCTTCCCTGACATTTTGATTGACACTTTCACGAACTGCTTGTGCATTAG